ACCCAAACATTCCTATACATTCGTGCAATGTCAGCACACACAACGAATGGGTGTATCCGAAATCTAAGCAAAATTGTTATCAAATCATCTTGGATGGTTGGACCAACATATTGCAGCTCATTCAGCGAGATCCCAGTATCTGTTGGCGCAGAACCATCGAAGACTACCCGTAACTTTGTTGTGGTGCTATTGTCATTCATGACCGCGTGGTGAGGCAAGTAATATGAAATGTCTTGATCGTTCCCAATGTTGACCTTGGTCATATGCCCTGATTGCTCATAATCTTTCATGAATGTTAGATAGCCTTGTTTTAGATCCGAATTTTTATCAAACCGTTTTTCCAATCCCAAAAATCGCTTCATAGCTCCCTGTCTAGAGTCCCCAAGTTTTGACACAGAATCTTTGAAAGGTATTGACACAATGAAGCTCCCATCTCGATCTCTCTTGGTTTTTTCCACAAACAACTTCTCACATTCAATTTCTTCTAGCGAAAGTGGCGAAATTTTACTCCCAGGTTCCTCAATTTCCCAGAACTTCTCTAATTGTCCTGGTATATCACAAGTCACATTTAATCCACAATAAACCGTCTCATTCTTTGGCTCTGTCTGTCTAATTTGTCCAGAAATAATCCATCCCAATTTACTATTCTGTAATACTGGCATGTATTTTCCTAACCCAATTTTTTCTGAACAAATCAAGTCCCAAAACAAACCTGCCCCTATCAATAAATCGATTTCCCCTGGAATGTAAAATTGTGGATCAGCTAACTTTATATTTTTTGGAATCTCCAACTGTTCCTGTGAAATTGAGTGCATTGGCATTCTTTCGCTAATTTTATCAATTACAAAACATGACAAATTACATTGGAATTTCCCTTGAGTGGATTTCAGCTCAATCTGACATTTTCTATTTATTGGTGCAATGACCTCGCTTATTCCTACCACCGAAACCTTGACTTGAGTAGTTGACAAATTCAATTTCTTGCAGAAGTTCATCGATATATAGTTAGATTGTGAGCCACAATCTAATAAGCACCGACAACTTTGAAATTCCCCATACTGATCACGTACCTGCACTAAAGCTGTAGATAAAATCACATCTGAATTGTCACTTATATTCTGCGTAGAAAATGTAGCTGTCCTATCTGTCCCACCCTGTATCTCATTTCTCCCATCATTTCTATCTGAATTTCTATCGGATGTTCCCGCGTCATTTCTATCAGATACTATTCTCACTTGGTCCATATGAACTAAGAGATTATGTTTGTAATTACATTTTTTACAGCGAATTTTTGAAGGACAAAAACGACTATAATGATTTGCTTTCAGACAGCACATACACAATTTCAATCTTTTCAATTCTGTGATTCTTTTTTCTACTGAAAATCTTTTGAATTCTTCACAATCTGTTAAACTATGACACTTGCTACACAGAGCACAGGACTCCTCATTATTCACAGTCATAAAAGACTTCGTTTTGGGAATATTTTCTCGACTATATTCTTTATTAATTCTTGTCTTTGACCCTATTTGAGATAACTCCAAAGTTTCCAAAAGATCTGCTCTATCTTTTACAAATTTATTGAAATCTTCAAGTGTTGGAAGATCTTTTGTCACCTTGTATGTTTCCCATTCCCTCAGCGAAACCTTATCCAATTTACCTGCTACTGAAAATATAATTAGAGTGTCCCAATGCTCCGTCGGCTGTCCAAGATTTTCTAGTGCCCTCAAATGTTTATTTAATGTGTCCAAGAATCTTCTTAACCCAAATGATGATTCCTGAGTCATTGCCGGCAAGTCATAAATTGCTTTGATATGGTTGTGTACTAGCAAACGTTTATTGTCGTACCTCTCAGTCAATAACTTCCAAGCAATATTATAATTTGAAGCAGAAAATTCCAACGAATGTATCACTTGCTTCGCCCCGCCCTCCAATGCTGCACGTAAATAATGAAATTTTTGGATATCTCCTATTCCCAAATTAACATGAATCAGCGATTCAAAAGTATCTTTAAATTCCATCCACGTTTCATAGTTCCCACTAAATTTTGGCAGTTGTATTTGCGGTAAACGAACATTCGATGTTCCTGAATCAAAATTGTTAACCGATCTCCCACTCTCACTACTAGTTCCATTCCGAACCGAACCTACACTAGAACCAGTCTCTATTGCATCTTCCTTCTTTTGCTTATAATCATTTATTAATCTTGTCGCCAATGAAAGATGCTTGTAATAATCACTTTCAAATGCCTCCCGCTCATTCATCTGTTCATCAAAATTATCCACCAAACTCTCAATGTCTCTTTGAAGTTCCTGAAATTCTTCCATAACTGGAATCATCCTATCCACTCTAATCTGAAGTTCAATAAACTGTTCTTCCTCTACATTTTCTGTATTTTCCCCCAGAATTTTTGTCATTAAATCAGTCACAAATCCTTTAAAAAGCGTAAGACGTGATTTTACCGTGCCCCGTTTCCTAATCAACAATTTTATTTCCTCCATATTTCAACCCGTTATTTTTTCCCAAATTCCTATGCCAAACAACCCATTCAACGATAAATTCATCAACAATATTCACCCAATCCAAACGGAATAATGTGATTAGCAATAGCAATGTAAGTAGGCAGGTAGTAGGTAAACAAAATAGGGTAAAATAAAAAAGGAACGAACTCACAGGCGTCTCCAGTTGACCAGCTCACTTCAATTGTGTGTTGTGTGGGAATCCCTTCTCTCACACACTCGTTTTCGACTGGTCCGCTGCCTGTTTTCGCTCTACGACGGTGACCGGCTTCTTCTTGATAACAGCAAAGCGGCGTTCAGCATTCAAAATGTCCGAATTTTTTCATCGTTCGAAGGACCTCGTACCTTGTTCACTATTTTTTAATAGTATTTATTTGGCTCGATTGACCATTATGTTGTAGTGAATAAAGCAATTCGTAAATAACTTATTACTATTTATTACACTAAGATGTGGACTGCTGGTTACATTCAAATACTATTAGAATTTATAATAATGAAAAGACGCTGCGCAAATTCTCTTTCGGCGTCTCGTCAACGACTACTGAGTCTTTGTGTACCCTACGGCAGGGGATGGCTGACGGCAGGGGATGGCTGACGGCAGACTACCAGTGGCGTAACATTTTTAAGTAAACAGGTTTCCTGGTCAAAATTTGACCCATTCAAAGATAAAACCATATACCGGTGTTGAAAGCATTATATTCAATTTTTCTTGAGATATTGCGCAACAACTATTTTTATTTCTTAAAAACGCCCTGTGATTATGAAATCACGAAGGCGTTGTCGGTCGAATTTGGCAACACCCTGTATATAAGTAATATTGTAAGGTAGAAGAATAACCATGGAAACGAATCATACATGCCAAACACTGTTTTGTCACCATTGTTTATTCTGTCAATCAAATTTATGCGGAAAAAATGAACTCTGAAGAAAATCCCGAAATTCCCGATAATATCCTAGAGCAAGCTGCACAAGCGACCGCGAATTTATTATCAGTAAAATCCAGTTCTAGTAGTTCCAAGTTTTTCCCACAACTGTAAAAATGAAAATTTTCCATGTTTATTTTGTGTCTTTTTTATGCAATATTTAATTATTATATTTTCATTTTCATCGAAGTGTAATAAAACATATCGTTCATTACTCGTCCAGAAATGATTTTTCCGTGCTCAAAAAATTATTTCAAGGTATTCCAGAGCCATATATCACGAGATATATTTTTTCTAGAAATGACTGGAAAGGCTCATTAGCGGCAAAAAAATTATTGTCTGCAAGCTAGAATTCATCAGGTCTGAAAAATTGTAATAATAGTAATATTCTTCAGGTTTCAGAACTCATAGACATTTTGACGTTTTAAAATAGAAGAAAAATGCTGTCTATCGGAAAAAATAGCCGATTTGTTGATATTGTATTCCTGTATAAGAGGAACAAAACTATGTGTATTGAAACAAGTTATGATTTCAAACAATATCAATAAGATGTATGATAGCAATCAGTCCAAACAAGTTTAACTATTAATTGATGTTGAGATATTTTTGATGACTTATTTATAACCAGTTATTATGATAATTATTCAGAATTCCTGGCAGGAGGTCAAGGACAAGTTCATGTATCATCATTATTATATTAATTTTCCGAAAATCACTTGGAATTTTTTCATAATTATTATTGAATTAATTAATTTCTACAGTAATCAAAATCTACGAAATCGGCTATTTATTATAGAGTTGGGGATTGCAGTTGCATTTAAAAATGGAATACTATGTTATTGCACATGTTATTCTTCAAAATTAGGGAAACATAAGTTCTTACATTAATGACCTTGAATGATAATTCAATTGGACAATTGGACGTATTTATGCAATAAGGATCCAACCGACATGATCGTCGAAACTGAGTACTATGCATAAATCAATGACTAAATATCCATTCTAATTTCAGCAAAAAATAACCAATTTAATTTCAAACATATTGGCATTTATTTTCGATAAAAGAACCATCTGAAATCATGGGCATCAAGTCATTTGCTATGAAAAAAAGAACCACGTGAGATGGTTCACGTGAAATGGTTCTTTTTTGTATATCTCCGTTTGATAATTTATCGGTATACCTGGATCCTAATACCCTTTTTTTATCAAAATCTCCCGACAATTCCAAATGCAAAAAGGAATCAACGCATTATTTTTTAAAATATTGTTGTTTGAGGAAATTGAAACTGAGATTTTTTTCCTTCGAATTTCCTGTTTTTTCACACGTGATAAAATAAGAAAGTGGCAAGGCAAAATATCACTGATTTAATAATGATTCATTACCTTTAGAGGTCATTGGTCAATATCTTGAAACTCACTTGTCCCTTGGTTCCATTTTGCATAACTGCGTCGAACACGTTAATTCATCGTTTTCGATAGATAATAATCATTAAAATGATCACTGAGAGTTCAAACTTCTTATATATTTTTCTGAGGGTGTGAAAAAATTAATTTTTAGAAAAGATATAGACCTTTGGAAAACCACGTAGCAAACAACGATGAATCTTCTGGAGTGGGCTCAGATGTGGATGATACTGACATTATTATTGGAGAGCAAGTAAGTATCAGAACAAAAATATATAACCTAGGAGATGCATATGCAGTACAAAATAGTCAATGCATTCTAGGAATTCCATCCAAATTGCCAAAATAATTTCGACTTTGAATTATCAACTACTAGCAAAAAATGGAAAACTTATTTGACTTGTTAGAATTCTGAAAGATATGAATTATTATTTTTTTAATAGTCACTCAGAAATTCATAAATTATCTTCATTCATATATGCGAAATATACAGTATTAACTTCCAAATTTCATCAATCTTGAATATTGATTGACGTTTAATATAAAATTTCAAATAAATGTCACATGAAAAATTCATCGACATGTTACTGTTTTTTCCACAACCTCGTTCCTGAGAGCATACATAAATAATACCTGAAGAAGTATTCATAAACCCATAAACCTCATCTTTGCCTTCCATAAACCTTAAAAAATACTCAAACTCATTGAAATTTCACAATGCTCAACAATGCATATACAAGTGCTTCTGACTTCTCATGAGAACACTCCTTTTTTTGCATAATTTTTCATAACACGAGAGATACCAAAAATATAGTCAATGGGGAAGTTTCCTTCAGATGAATTTTCATAAAATAAGTTCGGAACCCTCCAGTTGTCCACGCTGTACAGAATGGCGACCGATGCATTCGTACGTACATTCTGAATCTAGTCTGAAAATAGCTGATGGTGAAGAATATTACTAGGGAATAGCGAACGAATAGCTAACGAATGAAAAAAATAGAAGAAGAAGTAAAACTGGTAAACAAAAACATAAATAACCAGAAATGCACTTGGAGCAGGAATGCAGAAGGTAGTTGGCTTCATTCTCACAGGTTATGGTTTTGTTATTTATGCATTGAAATACCTCGAACAGAGCTCGATCCTAAACGAAAATATCATTGAATCAATGAATCACTATCGGCTACATACAATGATACTATCCGTCCTGATTTACTGCCATCGGTCAGAACAGAATGAAGCCGACATCCATGGCTCCTTCCTCTTGTTATGCCTGTCAGTATTTTGAGTGGTGTGGACGGACTCGAAGTATTAGGCGCTGTTGCAAGATATAATCTGCAACTTTCCTAGAAAATAGATCCGTTTCATTGAGGATCGAATTCATTAACAAAAAAATGACTGACAAGTTATGAATAACATAATGTAATATAACGATAGTGAGAAATTATAGATACTATTGCACAATATCATAATTCATCTTTATTAGTAATCAACTTCATTCAGCCAATGAGAGATTTATGAGAATTATTCATAATACTTGATATAGTTATTATGCATTCAAAGAACAATTTCCGGAAATCTAGGGAATCGTATTTTAACTCGTGAATGTGGATTTTCAGAAAGTAAGTCATAGGAATGGTGGAGGAGCCAAGTTCCTCTTTTATTTATTTTTTTCTGAAGTGAAATTTGATCTTACGAAAAAAAGAAAAAATAAGTATACAGGGTGTTATTTAAGTACGTGGCCAAACTTGAAGGGGTGATTCTAAGACGAAAAGTTCATATAAACATAGGTCCGGTAATGCTTCGTTTTCAAGATACAGGGTGTCAAAATTTTTAAAAGAAATCGTTTTTTTCGTAAATATCTTAATAACCCTTCAACCGATTTTATTGAAATTTGACAGTGTTATTCAAGGTCGTAAAGGGCTAATTTAACCCTAACTATATCAAAAATATTAGTAAGACCCCAGTTTTGATGGTTTGGTAGTTGAAATGTTTTATTATGTTTTTTCTCAAAAACAAAGCAAGATACGAAAAAATTCTAGATATGAAAAAGATGTAATTTTAGTTGCTCAATGTGAAACAAATACAAAAATTGCAAAAAAATCAGTGGCGCACATTTTTTCTGTCAAAAATATTGGTTACAGTGCCTTCCGGGAAGCCACTGGACATGATAATTTTGATATAGTTAGGGTTAAATTAGCCCTTCACGACCTTGAATAACACTGCCAAATTTCAATGAAATCAGTTGAAGGGTTATCAAGATATTTACGAAAAAAACGATTTCTTTTAAAAATTTTGACACCCTGTATCTTGAAAACGAAGCATTACCAGACCTATGTTTATATGAACTTTTCGTCTTAGGTTCACTCAAAGAATCACCCCTTCAAGTTTGGCCACGTACTTAAATAACACCCTGTATATTAATTTTCTACAAACTTCACATTGATATAAAAACCCCAATATAGGAAACTTCCCCATTACCTAATAGGGTCATCTCCAGTAATATACACTGGTCGCCAGCAACCGTGTAGGTACACCATCATAAGACATAATATAGCTTTGTATTCATAATAGGAACATCAAATTTTCTACAGATACAAATATTTTCTGAAGAACTTTCAGGAATCTGAAATTTACAAGAATTACGGGAGATATTGAGAAATCATCAGTGAAAAATTGATTGATAGTTAATTTCTCCTAATCATTTTCCATAGTTTGCACGGCTGCAGTCGAGCAGTGTTGATCACTGAAGATGACTGTGAATTTCAGAATCCTATCTCAATCGTCATTTTTCCTCGAATCTAACCAGACAAACCAGGTTAACTTTATGATGATGTCACGGTAACCTTATCAAGACGTCACGGTAACCTTATCAAGACGTCACGGTAACCTTATCAAGACCTCACGGTTTACTTTTGAAGCTTGTTTATTAGCTGTTTTTGTTTATTGTTTGGTTTTAGTAGTAATGCTGATATATTGAATAAGAAATTCATCATTTGTGAAGAAAATATATCAAAGATAGGAACTAGGTACTTACCTACTACAAATCCAAGAAAATTTGAACAATTCGCTGCGTACACATATTTACAATGAATCAAATATTTATTTTCATCAATATGATGAGATTTTTCATTGGAAAATACTTCGTATGAATCCATAATTATCTCTTTACGAAGTATAATTATTTTTTCTCAACAATTATATAACCTCAGATTGTGAACTACCTCAGTGAGCTGGTTTGTATGGTTGGTTAACTATTACGTCATAGTTTGAAATACACTTCGAGGAAAATTGATTGGTTAACTTATTGTTGACCCGGTTTGAGTGGTTAACTTCGAGGAAAAATGGCAAATGATTAGAGGCGCAAAATAGAAGATAAGTTGAAGTTACTGGAATATAAAAATTGAAAAAAAAATAGTGTTTATGGCAGAAACAGTTTTGGTCGAATGAAATTTCAATAAATTCCCCATGAATAGCATATGCAGCTTTCTTTAATTTTGGCTGCAGTTTTTGGAAGATCTTCTTTTGATACTAATCTAAATTTTATAGGGAGTCATTTCTCGATCACGATATTTGGCCAATAACCATTTAGTAAGTGCATGATTGTTTTTATTACTTGGGTCTTTTTACTTTTGGTGTTTGTTTTTTCTGGCTTCCATTCTATCTGTGAATCTGCTTTCTAATGAAAATATATTTAATGTCGTGTTATCCATTTATGTACTCCGCCAAATACTTCTAATACAATATTGATTTTTAGGTATTTTAAAAGTATCAAGTGAGTGACTTGGTCCTTTTTCACGAGTAGAAGAAAAATGCACTTTTTTCACGTGTTGCAATGTTGCATATATTTTTTCCACTACTACCGCTAGAAAACACGTAGTTTAGGTACACAAAGTACACTAAGAATATGTCCAATTTTATTTTTAATTTACATCAATTCAATATCATCTTTGGAACTGAAAGGAGATCTATAAAGTTATTTTCAGATGATACTGCAATAATCTATTCCTCAAGAATTTAATCATATAATTGATATAAAAATTGACTTGAAAATGATATCATCTTGGCTTATAATTCATAAGATAACTCTTAACTATGACAAATCTACGTATATGTATATTTCAAAAAGAAAAACTGAAATATCGAAAACAATAATAGATACAAAAAGGGTTGAAAGTGCACTTTTTCAAATGGAAAACCCTGTATATTATAAAATATCCTGAAAGATTACTAAATTCCCTTCGAATTCGAATTGAATTATTTTTCTCATATATTCTTCTAAGGTTGCACATGGCATTATGAAAATTTGACAATTATTGCATTAGTAATAATACCTTTGTGTGTTTCTCAACGGAACTGAATCAAAAAGAATTGAAATAGAGGAAAATAACTATTCAAACGAAGTTCTGATGAAATTGTTTATTCTTCATGGAAAATGTGAGGGAATTATAGCAAGAACGTGCAGAAAATTCAATGAAACGTATCCTGATCTAGAACACACTAGAAGAGCCGAATATGAGGTATAGGGATAGTATAAGGCAGAAATAATCAGAAAGTGATAAGTTCAAAAATGCGGTAATATACAGGGTGTCCCATTTGAAATAACAAAGATGCTGCTACTTTCTGGTATAAGCGGCAACGCTGCATTGCTGAAAATATTTTAGATCGATAGATCAAGAGCAATTACTTGAGTAACCCAATTTTCAGAATGATCTTATGTCCCGTTCTCTGTAAACGTCTAAGATACCATCATGGACCGTGACCCACTCTGTATATATATATCATATGTTTACATATTCCTATTATAAACAAAGATGTTTGTTGGGGAAATAAAGAAAAACAACAATGATACAAAACCCTCAAATTTCGTTTTTCTATCTTCAATAATAAAAAAGTAGAGCCACCTTAGAGAATCATCCGCTACCTACACCTATATTCCATTTTTCTTGTAGAGTTGAAATACAGTTGTATATACATTTGAATCATATCCATTAATCATGGAATTCTGTGTTACTCCATATTAGGCTTCTTCGCGTTCAAAATATAAACAGTCCAAAACCATCAGGAGCATGCGCAATTTCACAGAACAGTACTAATTTTTCAAGTTCCGTGGAACTGCGCATGCTTCTGATAGTTTCGGACTGTTCATTTTTCGAACGCGAACAAACCTTTTGTGTACCCCATAAACGACTATCTTGCTTTCCAGGAAGTTCAAAGAAGGCTGACCGAACGCAGCCAGTTACTTCCTAGCACGTCTTCATCAGAACCTGAACCGGCTATCGGTTTCTTGGACGCCTGTTTCATACCAGGCGTCATCGAGTTCTCTTTCGCTCTGTTCTTCTCGAAATTAGTCAGTTACACCTTTTTGTACTGGCTCCCGTTGTACGTCAATTCTTCTAGTGAGTAAAAAGCATATCATGTAGAGATAGGTTATTGTGTCAAAGTACAACTGCAAATCAGACAAATTGTCTAGACGAAACGTTCAAAAACGGGGAAGTTTCCTTCAGATAAATTTTCATAAAATAAGTTCGGAACTCTCCAGTTTTATGTCCATGCTGTACAGAATGGCGACCGATGAAGTTCAAATCGGTCTTATTTTCAAAGTTGAGCAATTTCTAATTTTCAGGGCGGCAAATAGTGACGTACATTCTGAATCTAGTCTGAATATAGCTGATGGTGATAGCTAACGAATAGCTAACAAATGAAAAACGAATGAAAACAATTCGCGACAATCACGAAGTGTGCGGCCTCTGGTGGCTAACTGTACAAGTCTTGCGAGTATGAACAACAAATATGGCGAACATTGTTTTGAATTTCATAAATATGTGTTTTATCCGAAAATAATTTATTTGTTGAAGACATATTCCAGAACCTCATTTCTCCCTCATGAAAAAACTCGAATTATTGCATGAACTTTTATTGTTTACAATGAAGAAACCAGTACCTACCTTATAATAATATAATATACATTTTCTGAAGCACAATTAGAATCATTGTATAAATGTTGGATACAATGATTCGATCTTGAGAATAACTTCAAGTCCTCAATTGTTGGAGATCCTTGTTTATGTAAATCGATGATATTGTTCATTCTGAGCAGCCTCTCCAACCATATCTTCTTACCCAACCCCTTCACTAGAATTCCATCTCCTTCATAAAAGCCAGTGATATTTCTTGATGAATTCAATTATTTCTTCATACCTATACCATATTGTTGTAATAGCTGATTGCTTGTATGGTTCCATTCCAGTCCATGCAAGTGTTGAGTGGACCATTCCGATCATTTCATATGTTTGAAAACTGTGGGATTGTAGTGTGATATCAATGATGAATACCACCATTGTCCACATCAAAATGGCAATTTCTCTGCACAAAAAGTAATTTTTTCCATACTGGAAACCTTGTATGTATTTCAAGAAGTCAATTTATTATTCACTATTTTGCAAAATGATTTGGAAATAACCAATTTGCAATGAGTGCATACGGCAATGTCATTGTTGTTCATACTCAGTTGGAAATTTGACGTTGATTTGACGTTAAATAGAGCCATCTATTGGTTCGTGATTTTCGCGAATAGAAGAAGTAAAACTGGTGAAAAAAAACATACATAACCACAAACGCACTCAGAGCAAGAATGCAGAGGGTAGTTGGCTTCATTCTAACAGGTTATGGTTTTGTTATTTATGCATTGAAATATCTCGAATACGGCTCGATCCTAAACGAAAATATCATTGAATCAATGAATTACTATCCTAATTTACTGTCATCGGTCAGAACAGAATGAAGCCGACTCCCATGGCTCCTTCCTCTTGTTGCGCCTGTCAGTATTTTGAGTGGTGTGGACGGACTCGAAGTATTAGGCGCTGTTGCATGATGTAATCTTCAACTTTCGTAGAAAATAGATCCGTTTTATTAAGGAACGAATTCATTAGCAGAAAATGACTGACAAGTTATGAATAACATATTGTTATTTATTTATTTATTACAAAGTAGGGATACAAGCAGACAAAATCCAACGAGTATCCTCTTATTAGGTAATCAAATAGTAAGCTATGGTGGACTTATATAGTAGACATTATAACTGATACAATATTAAAATACAATATAAACATTATATGAACGATACGATTAAACCGTTGTCTGTAGACGAAAGTGCGTGTGAATTTTAATCTAGTCAACGAAAGCAGAACAAGGATTTCACGTGTTTCTTAAAATTTGAAAATGAAAGTCTGAAGATTTCATTACAGTAGCTATTAAAAGTTCTGACCATTCTGCAAATGGGAGAGTTTAATCATGAGTTTTTGTTTCTGAAAGGTGTGTTAAAGGTTTCATGGCTTCTTAAATCTTTGCTAGGTGTACTCAAGGATATTTTGGACGATAGTCCGGGACAATCAATGCGTTTTTTAAATATTTTATAGATCATTAGAAGGTCTGACATGCTTCTTCTATCGGTGAGAGACAACATGGAATACTTTCTGAGAATTAGACTGTAATTACTGTTTACTATTGGGATTATATAACGATAGTGAAAAATTATAGATACTATCGTAAAATATCATAGTTTATCTTTATCAGTAATCAACTTTCATTCAGCCAATGAGAGATTTATGGGAATAATTCATGATACTTGACAAAGAAGGACCTATTATATCCCATTGCTGTTATGATATAGTTATTGTGCATTTAAAGAACAATTTCCGAAAAATCTAGATATATTGATGATGTCGGCAACGTCGTACTGACACATGGAATCCTACTTTAACTCTGTGTGAATGTGGATATTCAGAAAGTACGTCATAGGAATGGTGGAGGAGCCTAGAGACGTTCCATGTCACCTCTGTCACTTCATGTCAAAGTCATGCAATTCGTTTGATGTTTGATTTTTGACATTTCATTTTTCTTGTCTTCGGCATGAACAGATAAGACTTTTGTCGATTTTGATCTGGATACTACTATAATATGAAATTTAAAGTTCCCATTCAACTTTTTTATTTTTTCTAAAACATTTTTCAATAATATAAATATGTGAACATAACTTTTTCCTCCAGACCCAGCGAGCACAAAAACATCTCAGAGATGTCAAAAGTACGAGATTTCGAGACATTGAACCTCCACTGCGATGTTCTGTTCACACATGAATAGAACTATTATAGAACAGCCAATGTCCGCCGCAGGCGGCAATTATCGAGACGTCCTTGATATGTCACAAAACTACCTTCTCCCTAGTTCTTTTTATAGCCTTTTCATGGTCACAACAGAACATTTTTAACGCGTCTTGCGCACATTAAATCGCTGTAAAAAAAACATTTTCGAGGTACTTTTCTGAAGCCTTCTGTCAAAATGAACTCTTGCATTAGGATTCCATTTCCCTTGAATGAAAAAATGCATTAAAAATAGATTGAACATAAAAATATTTTCTTGATATGAAATTACCTTCTTAATCGGTTTCTGAGTAGTGCTTATACTACACACAGACATATAATTGGAAATAGGTTTCCCAATGTTTGAAATGTTCTCCACAATGCATAATTTCGCAAGTGCGGGGAAGCTGTGTATTGATGAATTCGTACTTTTATATATTGATTACACTGAGGCACCGAACAACACATCTTGCATCTGATGGTCATTATTACAAACTAAATAAGTCTTCTAACACAATAAACTTCACCAAATTCCTTTCTGCAAACGCGAATGCCAATTGCGAACAAGAAGAACAAAATCGAAAACAAATCAGAATTCATCGTATTGTGACGTAAGCATGAGACGTTGTGGTGGGGCAAACAAAGAAAGGGCACAAAAGAACAAAAACAATACTTTCAGTATCCTTCTAATACCTCTTTGGGAAGTGCATATTACGCCTCAAAAAAACATCCTCATGCCTACATTTCTAAAACATCCCAAAACATCCCAGGGATACCTCTCAGTAGGCAAACAAAGAAATGCCACAGAAGAACAAAAACAATACTTCAATATCCTTCAAAGACCTCTTTGGGCAGTGCATATTACGTCTCAAAATAACATCTTCATGCCAACATTTTCAAAACATCCCAAAACATCGCAGGGATGTTTGTGCTCGCTGGGGAACGGTTGAGTTTTTCAGACCTATCGTTATTGAGGGGTTTGTCTGACATTGTTCTCTGCTTTTCTCTCACTTTAGTGCTCCTATGTCACAATAACGCTGATGATCAAGCTTAAAAGCTTCGAAACATGTCCTTGTAATTTTGCTTACAATAAAGTATAGTTTTGGTAGAGTAGACGGTAAAAGTGCACTTATCATGCGATGGGGTTTTTTTCGAAAATTTTTTTTTGGTACTTGCGTATTTTCGTCTGGAAAACACGAATTTCATAATGAAAATGTGAACAAACCACTATTTATCGAGATATTTCAAGAAAAAGTTCGAAATTTTGCCTTCTTTTCCCCCTTGTGTTGGATGCATTTACAGGTACTTGCTCTTATTATTTTGTCATTGGACACTTTATATACTCATGATGTACTTCACTGACACATTTTAAGATAGAAAATTCAACAGGAAATGTGATTTTTATGGCGAGTTTCTCCTATTTAGTGAGCAAGCATACCAGATGACGGCCATTTAATCCATATGCGATCCAAATACGAGATGTCAAATGTCAATAGATTGCTTTGGAATGACATTACACACGCCATTATTTCAAATGATATTCTTCCTTCTTTTCACTAAACATGGATAAATCACAAGAAAATCATATTTTTAGTTGACTCATATAATAAAAAAAATGTGTCCAACATTGTGTGATGTATATAAATTGTCCAATGATGGAAAAAGAAGGGCAAATTGTTCTAAATGTGATCCAGAAGACAGCCGGAAAAGATGGTGAAATTTGTAACTTTATAGTGAAATATCTTAATGAATAATGGTTTGTTCACATTTTCATTATGAAATTCGTGTTTTTCAGACGAAAATACGTAAGTACCAAAAAAATTTTTAGAAAAAAACTCCATCGCATGAGAAGTGCACTTTTACCGAGTGGACTGTATGAATTTTGTCTTGTCCTATTGCCTTCACTCCACTGTAAGATGGATTGCCTCAGATGGTTGAGCTGGAGAGAATCCAAAAAAACGGGGAAATTAAATTTTGAATGACGAATATTTTCAAATTCCAGCTACAATGGGAGCAACACTAAGTGCAGACATGTCCACCCTGTTTGATGTGGGTGGCATAGCCGGGGCTGTGATAGCTGGCGTCCTGTGTGATAAAACAGAGATGCCAGCGTCGACGTGCGCTTTGATGTTGATCCTTGCTGCCCCATTGGTGAGTTTCATTGGTGTCTGAATGAATTACTTACAGGTACGCACTAGAGTCCCTGTCTCTGCTACGAATATTGGATAAATTATCTTGCACGAAATACAAATCTTCCCTTCTTTGGTATACAGTCTGTCCAAGATAAGGTTGCACAGCATGGGGATCTCGGAAACGGTAGGAGATACGAAGTCGGTTAAATGGGGAAAAAGTTGCGCATTTGGAGGCTCATACCAACAGCCTTCGAAAATTTTCAAATTTCTTTTTAGTTTTTCAGTTATATCGAAAAAAGTGAATTTTTGGAATCTCTATTTTATTTTTTTTTCTCCGTTATTATTAGAGATACAGGAAAACTGAAAATACTTTTTCATAGCAACTTTTGATGACGTTTAACGTGGTGATACCGATTTTTCTATGCGACGTTTCGTATTCGTAGAACCATCATCAACTTCTGTTTTTCAAATACGGCCCTGATAATTCTTTTACAGATTCTGAGAGCTTTTTTTATTCTGAATTCAACCATGTATTATACAAGGTGGTTTGAATGTGTTTCGAACTATTTTTAGCCATCATCAATGTTTTTTTCGAAATTCCAAAGGAAAAATGCCATTTCAAGTTTCATTTCTCTATATTTCATCAAAAAAAATTGTATTCCTTATTTCATACGATTGATTGGTTGGTGTATCAAATGGACGATACAGTACTCTTGACGATTTTCTATATAATGTTGATATTTTATTGAAATTATTTTTTGAACAAGAACAGTAATAATTCGAGATATTTTCTTTGTCAAAACATCAATATGTTTGTCCCACTTCAACCTGTCATCAAACCAAATACCAAGATATTTTATCTCGTCAGTTTGTTTTAAGAGTTCATTTTTTATTTTAAGGTTGAGGTAAATTTTTTGTTCCTTTTTTTTGTGAAAAATCATACATTCTGTTTCATTAGTATTTATCGATAAAAGGTTAGAGTGGAGCCATTTTTGAAATATTTTCAAGTCGTCACTCATCATATTTCCGAAATTTAAAGAATTCTTGCTATCATATAAAAGTTCTGTATCATCTGCATACATGGCATATTTACTCGCTATACCAATTTCACTAATATTTTGAACATAAAGTAAATATAGTATAGGTCCCAAAACAGAGCCTTGTGGAACACCCTTAATAATTAATAGTTTATTTGACACAGAGTTGGTTGATTTCGTATTGATTGTACTATTTTCCGGTCCCATTGTTTCTAAGTTTTCTAAAAGTGTTGCATGATCAACTGTGTCAAAAGCCTTTTTGAGATCAATGAAAAAAGCTACCACGTCATTTCCTGAATCAAGTCCTTTCTGGATTGATTCTATCTCTTGTAGTACTGCTGCTTGTGTTCCACTGTTCTCTCGAAAAATTGGTTAGAATCAAAGCTATATTTTTTGTTGAAGAATTCCACTTTGTGTTTCTTTGGCCAAATTCGAACTTTCAATTTTTTTAGATGCTGGTTTATGAAAGACTCAGTACGATTAGTTTAGGGGTGAACATGGTTCTTCTGGTAGTGGTCGGTTTACTGGTCAATGGACCGTACGCTTTGATAACCACGGCGGTTTCTGCAGAGCTAGGTACTCACCACAGTCTGGAAGGAAATTCCAAGGCACTAGCTACCGTGACAGCTATAATCGATGGGACTGGATCCATCGGTAAGTATCACAAAAAAAAATTCATCAAAGGTTTATAGTCACACGATAGATTTTTCGGAATTTGGGAAAAATATTGTGCGAAAATAACTCAAAGGACCCCTGAGGCAGGATTTTTTAGTACCTTAGGGTCTTAACTTGAATTAAATTGATTTATTGAACCGATCATATCTGAAGTGAGCATTATGTTCTTTGAACCTTGTGCTCATGCTATGGAATGTTGGCCCAATATATTTCATTTCTTAGTCATTATGGTATATTTGAAAAATACTCGTTTCTGTGAATCAAAATATGAGTATCATTTCAATATATTTGTAGTAAGGACAATTATTTATACAAATGATGAGAAAATCCCAAAATAGTTGAAGAAATAAACTTTTCTTCACTTTTTCAATCAGTGTACAGACTATTTTTATAATTTTTTCATTCCAAATTAGACTCCATTACATAATATAGGTACCTTCTATAGGAGATGACTTGAAAAATCATAATAAGTTCAAACCATACTAGGCACTCCAAAAGCCAAAGTGGTTGGAATTTCATGAAATAAGTTGAAATTATGGCAACAAAACATATGTAGGTCAAACTAGTTGATTCCTGAAAAATATGTTCAAGGAACATTTGATGTGGTAGATTACGGGTATTTTCTCGAAAATCAAGTCCAATTCTGGGATTTTCAAAAAATTATGGTTTTTTTCAACTCTACTGATATACTGGTGCAAGAAATGTATTCAAAATAAATATATTTTTTCAAATGCCGAAGTCTGTCCTGCGAATTTTGGAGCTATACTTGTGTTGCAGTTTTCCTAATCTTTCTGAATCACCAAAAAGAAATGGAAAATAATACCCAGAAGGGAAACATTTCAACATTGAAAATGAAAACATTAAGCCCCAATTTCACATGTCTAGTAACTCATCTTGTGGAGGCTGAATACAAGTTGTTGGTTAATTTCAAAAATCCTCTATCTTTATACCAGTTCGCGGTTTTCAAGGTCATCATCTGACCTTGTGATGAAGTTAAAACTGAGGGAAAACATTCTTAACTAGATGGAAAGTTAGACATGTTTTCCCTCAGTTTCGACGTCATCGCCACGTCAGATAATGACTTTGAAAATCGCAAATAGGCAACACATTTGCTCAACATATACAGGGTGAGTCATTAGTGTGGCAAAGTGAGTTAACGGCTTTACTGTTTGAGATAGATGAACAAAATTATCAGAGATGATCTAGGATCATGAGCAGCTCCTTTACAAATTATTTCGCTTTATACAGAGTGACTCAGAAATGCGTGGCGTATCAAAGTTATACTTTTTCTTATGGGACACCCTGTATTTCATTGCATTTTCGCATTCTCCTTTGTGAGCTGATTCCATCAATGCATCATACTTGGGGTCTAGCGAGGATTATTACAGAGATATAGGTTCAACTTTAGGATATTTTTGCGTCGAAACTATTCATTATTGGTCGAAAAGGCTTTCATGTCCCTATCCCAACTTTTGATTTACTATCTACTGACATTTAATTGGAACAAATACAGGGTGGTTCAAGATTCAGCATTCTAATCACCCTTGTATCTGTTTCAATTAACTGTCAGTAGATAGTAAATCAAAAGTTAGAACAGGGACATGAAAGCCGTTTTGACCAATAATGAATAGTTTCGACGCAAAAAAATCCGAAAGTTGAAAAATCGCGATTTTGAACACCCTATATCTCTGTAATCATTCTCGCTAGACCCCAAGTGTGATGCATTGATGGAATCAGCTCACAAAGAAGAACGCGAAAATGCAATGAAATACAGGGTGTCCCATAAGAAAAAGTATAACTTTGATACGCCACGCATTTCTGAGTCACCCTGTATAAAGCGAAATAATTTGGAAATGTGCTGCTCATGGTCCTAGATCATTTCTGGAATTTTTGTTCATCTATCTCAAACAGTAAAGCCGTTATCTCACTTTGCCACACTAATGACTCGACACTATACAGGGTGATCCACGGTGGATGACCTATTAGAGGTATCTGGAAAACGAAAAGACAGAACATTCTGTAAATTGAGATGCTCTGATAATTGAATATTCTCTATCCGTCTAAAATGTTTTCATCGATACAGTGTTGCCACTTCTATCAGAAACAACTAACAACTTTGTTATTTCAAATGCAACACCCTGTATTTCATTGCATTTTTAGATTCTTCCTGAAGAACTGATTTCATCAATGAATCACACTTAGGGTCTAGCATGAATAATTACAGAGATATAGGGTGTTCAAAATCGAGACTTTTCAATTTTAGAATTTTTTTGTGTCGAAACTATTCATTATCGATCAAAACGGCTTACATGTCCCTATCTTAACTTTTGATTCACTATCTACTGGAATTTAATTGGAAAAAATACAGGGTGCTTCAAGATTCAGAATTCTGATCACCCTGTATCTGTTCCAATTAAATGTCAGTAGATATAGAATCGAAAGTTGAGATAGGGACATGTAAGCCGTTTTGATCGATAATGAATAGTTTCGACACAAAAAAAATCCTAAAATTGAAAAATCTCGATTTTGAAGACCCTATTTCTCTGTAATCATTCCTGCTAGACCCCAAGTGTGATGCATTGATGAAATCAGCTCTTCAGGAAGAATCGAAATATGCACCCTCCATTTAAAATAACGAAGTTGCTAGTTGTTTCTGATAGAAGTGGCAACACTGTATCGATGAAAATATTTTAGACGGATAGAGAATGTTCAATTATCAAAGCATCCCAATTTTCAGAATGTTCTGTCTTTTCGTTCTCCAGATACTTCTAATCACAGGGCTATAGCTGGTTATTCCTGGCTTACCCTGTATACATAATCTTTTTTATTTCTAGGAGCTGCAGTGGGGCCATTATTGGCAGGATTTGTATCAAACTATGGCTGGCAAAAAGTATTTTTAATGTTAATGATCTCAGATATCTTTGCTCTTCTTCTCTTGCTGCGTTTAGTAAAAAATGAAATTAAGAAGTTCAGAAACATACGTAGAGCAGGTATCCGAATAGAATGAATTTAGCTAGATTTTATTTAAGTTAATTATTGATATGTGTATTTCTCAACTGATGAGTATGTGATAAACAAACAGATGCATTATGTAGTCATAGCATTTATACATATACAGGGTGTTTCAAAAAAACCTAACCCCCTTGCTAGGGTAGGTAGAACATTGCAAAATAAGTTGGGTTTTCTCAGTAAAAAAATGTCGTAACGACATCCGTTTTCATAATACAAGGTGTTTTTTACACATTTTACACGATTATGTTAAACTACTGGCAACATTGTGATGAAATTTTGTATGGATGTTTCTTGGAATCTGACACATCGCATGCATTTATTTTTATATCTGACTTTCATAGAGGGCGCTAGTTACACGGTTCGTACCGAGTAGTTTTGAACATAACTTTTTTGAGGTTAGATTTTTCGATCCAAATCTGATATGAACTTGAACATCATTCAATTTCACACCAAAAAGGTACTTCTGGTAAAACTCGATACTGTGTTACGTTTTCGGAATATTTCGATTTGAAAATGATGAAGTGGTAAATGTTGCTGGTATAAAGCATGTATTAGAGTGAGTATTATGAAAAATTATCACCTATTTATTGAAAACCGAAAACAACAATACATTTCTGATGCTAAACCCATTGATTTAACAATGAATCACAAGAATAACATCGAAACAGATTTGACTAGGAACATGGATTACACAGTTTTGGTGTATCTTGAGCAGACAGTTTATGCTACATAGTTAAATTCACGTCAAGAGTTTTGAGACATAATTGAACATCACTTGAATGACCTAACAGCTGATCCTCAACTGTTCAGAAGAATAATACATTCTTAAAAAAAGAATATAGAATCGTGTATTCCTCGAAACGTAGGACATTTTGAACACTTACTCTAACTGATTCAATATTTCATGTTTCTAGTCAAATATCTCTTAATTTTCTACTTATGATCCTTTGTTCCATCAATAACTTCAGCACAAGAATAATTTCATTGTTTTTGAACATGAATAAATAGGTAATTGAACTCAATAGAATTCATTTTATACTAGCATCATTACTACTCCATTATTTTCAAATCGAAATATTCCGAAAACGGAACATAGTATCGAGTTTCACCAGGAGTACCTTTTCGGTGTAAAATTGAATGATGTTCAAGTTCATATCATATTTGGATTGAAAAATCTAACCTCAAAAAAGTTATATTCAAAACTACTCGGTACGAACCGTGTAACTAGCGCCATCTATGAGAGTCAGATATAAAAACAAATTCATGCGATGTGTCAGATTTCAAGAAACATCCATACAACATTTCATTACAATGTTGCCAGTAGTTTCGGAATAATCGTGAAAAATGTGTACAAAAAATAATTTTTTCAACACCTTGTATCATGAAAACGGATGCCGTTACGACATTTTTTCACTGAGCAAACTTATTTTGTAATGTTCTACCTACCCTAGCAAGGGGGTTAGGTTCTTTTGAAACACCCTGTACAATTTTTATACAGCATTTAAACCTATTTTAACATCAAAGACCCATGGAATAGATGAAAAAGTGTAGTTTCTCATAGGTAATTTAGTTCATCTTATTCAAATTATGATTGTTATTATTGATTTTCTATACTGGATGTTATTTTTCCCAAGCCTATCAGTATCAAATCTTCTCTCATCAGGCACATCAGGTAATCAATGAAATCATTGTCATTCCTTTATCATACTTTATATTTTCGATTCCTATTGAATTTTGTAATTTTACCTACATATTTTTTAAAAGTTCGAAATTTGGGGATAAAATAATTTATAAATGTGAAATAAATATTTATTGGGACTTTAAATGTAACACATCATTATTTTTCATCCAAGATCATGAATATTTTCATTTTTCATTACCACCATCTTGTGAATATAATAAAATTTTATGTGGAAATGTAATGGCCAAAAATTTGAACATATTCTCAAAATACATGAGATTCAGAATAAAATCTATTTTTACATGTTTTTTGTTGTTTTTATTCAGCATAAAAAGACAATACAGTATCAAAAACAATATGTTGAAAGGTTTGCTTCATCACTATTTTGCTAGTGATCAGAGGAAAGTTGATAATGAACATGACATTTCAACTTTTGAAATAGTTACCAACAATGGCTCAATTTCATTCATTGTAGATGGAAGGTACATTATTTCTTTCTATCAAAATAATCTAAGGTGTTCCTAAAGGTATTATAAAAGAGATATAATCTGCAGTTTCTCCCCAATTTGCTCTGTTGAGCTGGAAAATTGTTACCCATGTAATCAATAACACTAGCCATATTGCTGATCCCATTGCAGAAAAAATCACATCTGTAAAAATGAATATTTAGAGTCATTATTTTACAAAACTTTGATACAATGATAAAAGAAAGTGAGAACTGAGAACTAAATCAGTAACCACAGAGTCAAATAGTACAACATTTCTGATAATTTGAAAAATAATCTACAACCTAAGAAACTACATGTAGACATAAAACGTTTGGTCCTTGAGATCTACAAATTTTCTAGGAGAAAATAGAAAACCTACACTTTTTAATATGCTTCTGTTCTGCATATTCAGGTTTACGAAAAGCTTCATTGAAAAACCAAATAGCATTGACTGCCCACACAAATGGGAGTAATGCAAATCCAACTGAAACAAAAATAATGATATAATAGGTGTTGCTGTATTTTTCCTTTCAGAATCATACTTACTTCTGAAATACCACCTACAAAGATCAAGCTTTTTTTCGTTGGAAACTTTTGCTAAATCCATTTAACTGCAATACCTATGAATATATTATTTTTTGTGCTTCGAAACTTGAATCACTTGAATCTAGAAATTCCTTTATTTACTATTTTGAGTTTTTGACATGAAGATAAATATAACCTATAACACTTCTTCTTCTTATTTGCTTTCGCAAATTCAACCACGTAAATTATTCTTCTTCTCAATTTTTAGTATCTTGTATGAAGTTGTCTGAGGCTACACAGAGCTGTATTCAAATGTTTCAGGACCATGCATAAGCGTCTAAAATGTTTTGAAATGTTACAAATTCGCGCATTATGACAGCAGCCCGTGGTTTTTTATTTGAAGAGATAAACTCTCGAAATCCACAGGAGCTACATAAATAATAATAGTGCTCCTTATGAACTCAACGACATTTTTTTTATCGACCTGTTTATTGACTGGAAGTGACCTCAACTTTTTATTTCCGAATGTCACCCTGTATTTTGTTTTCAGTCTATCTTATTTGTCTTCAAATTCTCTATTCAACCATGTATGATAAAGTGGCATTTGTTTGTTGATACGCTGTTGAACTGCTGCTGATGGCGCCGTTCGAAGAAGAAACTTCGGATTTCCAATTGACAATTTCATTTTGTAGGGAGGATAAGTGGCAATGATGAAGTGACAATAATTCTGAAATTAAATATATCTTCAAATAAACTGAGAAATAAAATACAAACGATGTATTTTGCATATTCTCCTGCTTTTTTCCGGATATCTCCGGAAATAATTGAAATTTTTCCAATTTCAAAGCAGCATTTTGTTAAGCATTGGTGTAACTTTGCCCTTATTCAACTCACTCTGTATCTCTTTCTGAGATAACCAAGCTTAGCCACGAATTTGTAACAATCCCGTATATTGATCTCTATTATTAGTATTCTCAATAGAGGTACCTACCTATCAATAATAATCCCACACAGCACGAAATATTCAACAAATATTGCCACAATATTACAATATTGCAGTTACATCCGCAATATATTTCAGATATATTGCAGAAATATCGTATTGGTATATTGCAATTTCAATATTTCGAAATATTGCTGCAATGACACTAATTTGTATTGTCATATATGATTGCGACGTTCATTGACAAGTTTATTATTTTTTATATCTGCATTATAATTTCAAGATATCGCTTAGAATCATTGATTGTTTCTTGGATAAATCATGCAATCTTTAAGAAATATTGCAGCAATATCTGACGATCAACTAATTCAATGTTATTAGTATGGAAATAAATATCTATCTATCTATCTATCTATCTAATATTGAATACTGAATTATTTTCCAGAAATATAAAATGTTTATTCGAGGATGAATTACAGAGAATATAAATGAGTGTGCACTGGTTTTACCAATGGAACTCAGTTATATCGTTATAAATTTATTATGATTTTGACTCTAGTTTTGACACCATTGTTTTGACATCATTGTCTAGCTTGTCCATCGAAATCATATAATATTGAGTATATATTATATTATATCACTTATATAATACCATTAATCTATGGTTTTGACGGAAATTGTATTCCTAATCCTTATATTGTTCAAATCGGTCACGTGATATATAATGAAGATTTCATTGGTCACAATAATAGAGCACATGATACATCTCCGACTAATTGCGGCCAATGAGAATTGACTACATTGTGCGATTTAGGCACGGGCTAACAATTTGACATTTGAAGTTTTTCACGGTCAGTGTCACTCAGTCCTCAGTCTTTCGCCAAATCAGCACTTCGCTTGCCACAAGCTGTCATTTACAACAAAATGCTAATTTATTAAAAAAAGATATATACCTTTGAAGGATTCCAAAATATTCAAGTCAATCTGAAAAAAATATCCTCCATCGGCCTATTATGAATTCTAATCCACCCTGTATAATTTATAATATGTTGTTTTGGGAAACCCTTATATGAAATTTTTCAATATTTCCATATCGTATCTCAAATATAGATCAAATATATATTACATATTATTTCTGCAATATTGTTCGGATATATTATCGAATATATCTGCAATATTTCATGTTAGATTTTGGGGCGGACCTCAACGTTTTGCAATGAAACAAAAATATTTCAAATCTGTCCGAACCATATTCCTGCAATATTTCTGAAACAATACTGTGCTGTGCTGTATTATACACTTCAGAATTAAATTTTGAAATTAATACATTTTTACTGCAATTGGGCATGGAAAGTTAAGTTCAGGGGCTCCATTTCAGGGAGCCGTAGCTCAATTAGAAGTCATTTTTCATGTTCATTGAAACTTTTCTGATTATTCCTATTTTTCGTCGTTGAAGCCGCTGGTGAACTTTGGCAGGCTAATTTCTGGACACCCTGTATATTATTATTATTGTCTATAGAGGTATTCATTAGTCTGGTTTGATGACCAAACACTCTTTATAGTTTCGTAGTGGATGTGTGTGGTTTTCCGTTGTGGTTATGGATCATTAAGAATTCAATAAATTTGCCTATCTATCCAACCGGTTCCTGCGAATTGTTTCAAATTGTTTATACCGTGTAGATCATCGTGAAACCTGTTAGAGAAATGTACAATGTTATTGTCGTAATTTTGTTCATTCAAAAACAAATGTAGTTACTAATTGGTACGATAGCTAGGTATATTATTATCTGCCTCGCATAATACAGGGTGAGTCATGAGGAACTGTACATATATATAGTCATATCGCACGAATGCAGGCCACTCAGGGGAATGTCTAATGTCCATCAGGAAAGTGTCTTCTCCACTTCTTTACCAATATATAGGGTGAATTATTATGCGAGTTGGCAAAAACATCTTTTGGGCATAACTTTTCAACAGGTCCTTCGATTCGTCTGATTTCTTCATGGAATATTCCTCTATACTGAACTATAATCGACTGATATTTTCAGAATTGGCCAAATCCAGGACTGTTTTTGAAAAATTCCTATAGTTCAGTTTTTATCAAAAAGTTCATCCTGTATATGGTTTTTGTAAACTCTGACAGGGAATTTTCAAAGCACACAAACATGCATCAATGACAAAATATTCAAAATTCTCCTCACACTTTCACTGATTTTTTTAAAAAACGATGAATTTTTAGCAAAAACGAAAGTTTGACAACAAAAATTCATTCATTCGAAAGTAATTACTTCGCAACGCATAAATTCCACGAATAAAAGTGAGACTCACATTTTCAATGCTTTAGCCCAATGGAAATCTTCCATCTGTCCTTTCATTTCTAGGCCTGGATTTAGTCATTTCATTTTTTGTGAAGGGTAATAATCACCCTGTAGATCTTTTTCGAATCAGTGGATGGGGTATCTGTTCTATTTTAATGGTCATCGATTCAAATAATTCAGGATAGTAGAACAAAAAAATAAAGGTTTATTGACAATTATTTTTCAAAAGCTATACTGACAAAGGCGGATATAATAATTCTAGTACGGCCGGGAAATAAGTGACCAAATAAACTGGCTGAAACAAATCGAATAGATAATACTGTGAATTGAAATCATAAGATTATAGCGATGGCCATCAACATTTTCACAGATACCCTATCCACTGATCCGAAAAAGATCTACAGGGTGATGATTATTATATCATCCACAAGAAAATTGAATAACTCGTTAATCCAGGCCTGAAGATGAAATAATATGTTGATTTACATCGAGCTGAAGCTTTGAAAATGTAAGTCTAACTTTTATTCGTAAAATTTATGGGTTGCGAAGTATTAATTTCCAAATAATAGTTATTTGTTTTACTAGGCAGAAAAGTAGTGGTAGTAGTAGTAGCAGTCAATCTACATTTGCTGCCGTGTGAAACATAGAAAAAACTCCATCAATTTGTGTTCACCCAATGTCAGTGTCAATTTTGATTACTAATTTCATTAGAATTTCTTGGAACGTTGCATAGCAACAAACTTCTCCTGCCTAGGCACTGAAAGTACACCTTTTCTGCCTGTTAAGTGGCAGGAAAAAGCCACTATCCCTGCCGTATGGAGAAAATACATGTTTTGGCAAATTTTATTGTTTTCTCGTAGAATTCATCTAGTTTTGAAATGAAAGTGTGAAGACAATTTGGAATATTTTATTTCTGATATTTGTTCGTGACCTTTCAAAATTCCCTGTCAGAATTTACAAAAGCGATAGATGAACTTTTTGCTATCAACTAATAAACTATAAAAAAATTTCATTCTTCATATTCTGAATAAGTCAGTCCATTAAAGGGTAATACCGGAATATTCCATGAAAAAATCAGAGAAATCGAAGAAGCGCTGTTCGAAAGTTATGACCAAAAGATGTTTTTGCCAAAACTCATAAGTCTCCCTATATCGGGTGGTCACAAAAAAAACGGAAGTTTTTATTTTCCTCGTGGTTTCATCATTTATTCTCAACCGAATTCGAATTTCTTGGCGTCGTTTCATAGCTGAAGGGCTATAGTATTCAGTGGAATATTTGAAAATTCCATAATGAACGAAAAGAAAATGGCGGATTCTACCAAAATATTGTCATTTACAAAAACCGCTGGAGAAAAAGAAAATCAGATTTTTTTCAACCTGTACCGATGTCATCTTAGGCTATTCATTTCTGAAGAGAATGAGTACTCGAACATCGAAATCGAACAAATAGTCCAGTAGATATATACACTCATTTCTTTGCAATTTGTTATGGAGTGAATGCGCTTATCTCGTATGAACGATTATTATTATTTTGCTGCAGGCTTCATGAAAATTCAATCGAATTTGGATTTTTTTGAGTTATTTCAAAGATAAAGAACTGTAGTACATAATGGAACATTTGAAAATCCAATGATTGAAAGAAACAAAATGGTGGAGAATCCAGAATTTTTATGATTTTCAAAAATCTCTGGCGAATAAAAAAATGTTTATTCTTCCAATCAGGACCGATACAATTTTAGATCATAGATTTCTGAAAAGAATGAGCACTCGAACATCTGAATCGAACAATTAGTCCAGGAGAAACACGTTCTTTTTTGCAAAGTGTTCCAAATTCGATCGAATTCTGATAAAGCCAGAAGCAAACTAAAAGTAAAAATCTTATCACGGGGCACATATTCATTCCACTATAGCCCTTTAGCTATGGAACGACGCCAAGAAATTCGAATTCGGTTGAGAAATGATGAAACCACGAGAAAA